ATCATTAGGGATAACTTATCCTTATGGTCCTTGATGGCTTTGGTAAAGGATAAAACTGCTAGACTGGCTACTTTGAGAGTTCAAGGCTGAGGGTGATTTTCAAAGGACAATGTGTGATGTCTCACATTTCCCAAACCCCTTTTCCATTACATCTGATTGTTCAGCATTCACTCATCAGCAGTTTGTTAAGAGTCCACCATGTGCCTAGCCACATGCGAGCATTAGTTATCTAAGATGAGTATCTGAACGAGTTCAGGTTTTAGAACTCTGTCCATCTGGAGGAGGATGAGGTAGGGGAGGCCTCTTTTCCTCCCTAGCCAGAGAACAAGGACACAGTGGCCCAGAAGAGAGCCTGCCCTGCCCAGGACAGCCAGGCTCATGCATGCACAATATGCACACTTGATCTGTCCTGTAAAGAATGCTTGACCTTGAGCTTTGTGGAGGTAGTAACCATGTCTGTTTTGTGCCCCACACAGAGTCTGGCCCAGAACAGGTGCTCAATGACGGTTGAATAAATAATTAAGCAATTCCTTTTACTAGTCCACTAGAACTTGGGCTGGTTGCTTCATGGCTCCAGGCCTTCATTTCCTCATTTGAAAAATTGGGATAAAGAAAGTACCCATTTCACATGGCGACCTTGAGATCACATGAGATAATGCAAGGCACAAAATGAGCATCCAATATACTATAGTTGTCATTTCTGTTAGTACTGCTCAGTGGCATGAGAGGCATATTCTTCTATGTCAAGAGTGACCTCTCGTCTTCTATTACCTTGTGACCTGGGTTGTTTTTTCTTAAAGCAAAGCCAAAAGCTAGATGGCCTTTGTGCAGAGTTCATATTAGACCAACTTAGAATGTTGGTCTTAGACCGTGAGGATCAGACAGACACAGTAACCCTGGGAGGGCATATCCAGTGCCCCCACACTGCACAATTTGGGGCCTCTTAGTTCCCACAATCCACTCTCTACGCAGTGTGTGTGTGCGTGCACAGTGGAAAAGGGGATTATGTTTTAGAAACATTAATGCTTGACCTGAAAGCACAGCTCCAGAGCAATGCCAGCCAGTTCCTTAATAGACTGTCCACCACTAGCCTCTGAGCAGACCACATATGTGTATGTTTGTGTGTACATGCATGTGTGCATATGTGCAGAGATACAAGGGACAGTTCTATCTTATTTAGGAAAAGACTATCTTCTACTGGGTTTACAATGTCACTGTCAGCCACAGGGAGTTCTCTGGGCTCTGGCTAATGGAATCCCAAAACACACCCTTCAAATCCCAAGGGGCTGGTCCCAGGTAGGACCCGGCCTTCACTAGAATAACCCCTTGGAGAAAAGGGCCCTTCTTCAGGCTGGCAGCTGATTTATCAGACTTCGGTCCCATGACTTACTTACAGCTGGAACTTTGTCTGCTGATCCTGTGTCCTATTACTAGGGCCTTTGCAGCTTCCCAAAAAGATTCTGTGGCACAGTAACTCTTCAAGAGAGGGCCCAACCTTGAAACCAACTATGAGTAGCCATGACATCAGCTGCCTTCCCCTGCTGGGTATGAGCAGGATTTCCAAAAACCAATAGCACTCTCCATGGGCTTGGGACAGGTGGCTGCTGTGTGCACGTGGCTACCACCTGTGCCACAGGATGCTAATGGGGATTTGGGACACCCCTCTTCAGGGAGGAAGAGGAACCTAGAGCCGTGGCTGCATAGGCTATAGTAGGGAGTGATGGGGTGCTGGCCCATACCTCATCCTTCCTAGCACCCAGTTCAAAACTTGCCCTGCTCCCTTCCCCAAAGAGACAAGGCTCGACCCACTACTGGGCCATCTTTATAGGTACACAAACTGTGCAGTTATATGGGGCTCCACACTTGGTTGTAATGCTCTGCTACTGATGTCTTGAAATTCTTCATAATTTTTGAATAAGAGGTCTTGCATTTTCACGTCGCATTGGGCCTACAAATTAAGTAGCCAGTCACTACACTTGCCACATAATCCCTGGTGCCACAATCTTCCTCTTTCTTTTCTGTCCTTAAGTCTTATTTATCCTGCCTTTGGGCAAAATCCTGACAGAAAATACTCAAAAAAACACAAAAGAAAGCACATTCTCTTTGGAAGAGCTTTCCTACTTGATTGGAAATGAAATGGTGACAGTGGATAACAGATACACTGATACCCATGGGATTTTCTCACATCTGTCCAGTTCTAAAGGCTGCTAGTTTTCTTACCCCTAGTCCTAGCATCTCCCTTGAAGAAACATAGTGGATGGCATTTAATAAGCTCATTTGTCTGACCTTTAGAATTCTTGCCCAAAGCATAACATGGGTAAAGGTTGAACTCTAAGGCCTGAGTTGGTATTTAGCAAGCCTATGTACTTGCAAACAAACACTAGTCTCTGAGCCTCATTTTTGTGTTTTTTTTTTTAAAGATTTATTTATTTATTTGAGAGAGAGTGGGGTGGGGCCAGAGGGAGAGAATCCCAAGCAGGATCCATGCCCAAGCACAGATCCTAACACAGAGCTCAATCCCACAATCCTGAGATCATGACCTGAACCAAAACCAAGAGTCTAATGCTCAACCAACTGAGCCACCCAGGTGCCCAAGCCTCAGTTTACTCTAAAACAAAACAAAAGGGCAGCCTGGGTGGCTCAGCGGTTTAGCGCCACCTTTGGCCCAGGGCGTGATCTTGGAGACCCAGGATGGAGTCCCATGTCAGGCTCCCTGCATGGGGCCTGCTTCTCCCTCTGCCTGTGTCTCTGTCTCTCTCATTCTCTCTGTCTCTCTGTCTCTGTGTGTGTGTGTGTGTGTGTCTCATAAATAAATAAATAAAATCTTTTAAAAAAATTTTTAAAAATTAAAAAAAAACAGACAAAACAACATGTTATGAGGCTTAGGAGTCTCAATCATTAATCTGTTTGTTAGGGCAGATTCCAAGCTCCTTTCTGATACTTTGGGCAGCAATCTTTGGAAGTGGGTGGCCATTAATTCGGGTACATGTCCTGTCTATGCCTTCTGACCCAAGGCATGCCAAGGCACATGAATCTGGGCATTCAGTTTTGGAGGGTTTGTCCCCTCTCCCCTGAAACCCCTACAGGAACCCCAGTTGAAGCAACTGTTCTCTGAGCATGGTCTCAAATGCAATCTCTGATTGTGCTTGAGGAATAGAGAGCTGAGGTCTTGGCCCACTTTGTTTTTCCTCTGCAGAGCTGTGCTTAGACATTCTGCCTGTAGCCAGCAATGTGGGTGCCAGGAAAGGCAGCCTCATGAATCTTGTTATTGTCTTTAGGACGGCGGTGTTTGCAAGGACATTATCCTCAACATCATGGCGTGACCTCTTTGTGGAAGGAAGTATATAGGAGAGACTTCTCTTAGGTCTTAGTACTTAGAAATACTAGCTTCTGGAGAACGAGTTTATTGCTTTGCATACAGGGATTCTGCAAGCTGAGCCACTGCAATCCTCAGAGCCTGGCAAGCAGGCAGGCCCCTGGGCAGGATGACTGGTTGTCAGTCTTACCCTTGGCTTGGTTATTTTGCAATCTCTTCTCCCCTGGGCTGTTTGCCCTGATTCCTTAGCTTTTTGTTTTATACTTTCCCCTTGTATGTGTCCTTATAAACATCCCTCTCTGCTACACAGTGAAGTGTGATAATAAACATGGGAATTCATTTTTAAATCTACTTCAGGGAAGTTGTGAGGATTAAGAACTGAATGGCTTCATGAATGTCAGGGAAGCAGCACAACCACCCAGTTGAGGTGGGATTCAATAGGAGGCAGAGTTTTTTTTTTTTCTCTAGACTGGATCATCTTGCTACACATAGCAATCCCCTGATCCACACAGCCTCTATATATATATATATATATATATATATATATATATATATATATATATAGAGAGAGAGAGAGAGAGAGAGAGAGAGAGATGTGTATATGTATGTATATATATATATGTGTGTGTGTGTGTGTATGTGTGTGTGTGAGAGAGAGAGATATATACCTCACCGAACACACTTTGAAATTTTTGCAACCTCCCTTGAGATTTTGCTGACTTGACTTAATTAAAGAGCTGAGAACTAAAATTCTTCCTGAAGCCCTCATTTTATGGGTCCACCAGTAGGGACTTGTTAGGGCTAAAACAGCTCACAGGCTTGAAGCACAGGAGGAACCACCCTTCTGGGAAGGCTGGGTGGGAAGGAGTGTGGAGGAGGGTAGAGGAGATAAAGAGTGCTGGAGAGGTGCAGATCCCCCACCCCCATGGCCACACAGTGAGCCCTGAATTCATGCCCCGTAGGCTTGGCCTATGGTATGAATGGAGCAGAGAGAACAAGGTTTTCAGAAGGAGTCTGCTCAGAAAATATAATCACAGACCACTTGGACTTTTCAGCAGGGAAGAGGAAACTTTGGCTTAGGCCCTATGCCCTGGCCCTGGGGAGTTTCAAACACCTCTCCATGCTTGGATGTCTTCTGAAGCAGAAATATGACCTTGCTTCATAATGCTTCACAGTGGAGGGGTCACCAGGCACAGCCATGGCCTTGGCAGGCTTCTCGCTATGTGACACAAGCAAAGCTGAGGTATTACCCTCTCTAACCCCTAGAAGAGGAAGGTGAGGGGCGCCTGGGTGTCTCAGTGGTTGAGCGTCTTGCCTTTGGCTCAGGGCGTGATCCCAGGGTTCTGGGATCGAGTCCCGCATCAGGCTCCCCAAAGGGAGTCTGCTTCTTCCTCTGCCTATGTCTCTGCCTCTCTCTGTGTCTCTCATGAATAAGTAAATAAAATCTTTAAAAAAAAGAAGAGGAAGGTGAGTCACAGGGGGACAGTGACTTGGCCCCCAGGGCATGGCAGAATCAGGAGTCAACCCCAGGGCTGTGGAACCTCTGCCCTTAGCACAAGGGCAACAGCCTGTCGCAGGAGAGGAGACCCTGTTCCAGCTGCCATGCTAATACTCCCTCAGATCTGGGCTGGGGCTGGGCCTGCTGGAGGGCTGGGCTCACACTTCATGTTGTCTTCTCTGGCAGTGGAGTCTAGTGTGTGAGGATGATTGGAAGACGCCCCTCACCTCCTCCCTGTTCTTTGTGGGTGTGCTCCTTGGCTCCTTTGTGTCTGGGCAGCTATCTGACAGGTAAGGAGGCTGGGAGGGAGGAAAGCTGGAATAGGGCCCCTTGTCAGTTCACTGCCAATCTTGGGGTGGGAGTAAATTTAAGGCATTTCCACTCAGAAAGAGAGGACCCCCCCCCCCACACACACACACACACGCCAACAAGTCAGTGAAAGGAGGAGCCATAATGTCTCCTGTTTCCTGTTCCATCAGCCCCTTGCTGGAACCTTCTTTTGTTCAGTTCTCCCAGCCTCAAACCTCCAGGGATTTGGCCAAGGGTCAGGAAGACTCAATAGCCTCACTGGAAACAGATTCTTATATCACCAAACCTCTCAAAAAAAAAAAAAATACACTGCTGCCCTCACCACTACTGCCCCACCTTACTTCTTACTCTTAGATGACGTTTGGTCTGTCCACAAACAGCCACCCATCAGTCAGAGGAAGGTCCAGACAGCCAGGACCCACACTGCTGCTGTGGGTCAGGCCCCCAGCAGGGCACCAGGGCCGCAGAACTGACCCATGCTGGTTGTGGGCCTCCTGAAACTCAGAGTCTAGAGGAGACAGCGAAAAATGCCTCACTGGCCCCTGAATGTCCTAAGGGCACCAGAGCAGGCAGGTGGGAGTGCTCAGTAGCAGGGTTGGGAAGGCTTCCCAGAGGACTGCCTGTCCCTCCTTCAGTTACAAAGTCCCAAGGGACTACAAGCCCAAAAGCCTGAGACCTGAATTTGGAAAATGTGGAAGGAGACTGTTCTGCTCACACCTGTGCTCCATTCTACCCATTGGTCACCATCAGAAAGTAAAATGAGACTTAAGCCAACTCTTGCATCATATTTACTGCTGCAAGCTACACTTCCTGTAGACGATTCCCACACAATTTTGGTTGCACATTAGACTCACCTGGGAAAATTGATTAAATCCTAATACCCAAACTGCATCCCAGAAAATAAGAATCTTGGGGGGTGGGGTGCTGGCCCCAGCATTTTTTGGCAGCAGGGGATTTCAAGTGCAGCTAAGGTTAGATACCACTGCCATAGAGGTAGATCCTCATTCCAGATTGACAGAACTAGATACCAGATTACCTGCAATATGTACTCATCATTTTCCAGAAATGTGGTGTCATCATCACATGTACTTTCATTTTCCAGAAATGTGGTGTCAGCTTCTACCTGTGGCTTGTTCCAAAGAGAAGATTTCTCTCTTTTTTTTTAAAGATTTTATTTTTATTTATTTATTCATGAGAGACCAGAGAGAGAGAGACAGAGACACAGGCAGAGGGAGAAGCAGACTCCATGCAGGGAGCCTGACAAGGGACTCGATCCTGAGTCTCCAGGATCATGCCCTGGGCTGAAGGTGGCACAAAACTGTTGGGCCACTGGGGCTGCCCTAAAGAGCAGATTTCTCTGGGGACCTGGAATGAGCTGCTCTATGCTTTCGAGATATGGGGCCTCCACAGAAGTTTTAGGATCTCAAAAGGCACCTCCTGGGGAGATGGATGCCTGAGACATCACAGAGGAAGAACTCAGGAAGATAAGGCCAAGAAAAGTTGTCACAGCCCTAAAAACAAAACAAAGTCTGCAGTGATAAGTGACTCAAGGCTTGCCACATGCCCTGAGTTACAGCTGCCGTGACCTGCATGTGCCATGTTTTGTGCTGTGCTATATTCTACAGGTTTGGCAGGAAGAACATCCTCTTTGCAACCATGGCTGTGCAGACTGGCTTCAGCTTCCTGCAGATTTTCTCCATCAACTGGGAGATGTTTACTGTGTTATTTGTCATCGTTGGCATGGGCCAGATCTCCAACTATGTGGTGGCCTTCATTCTAGGTAGGAATGGCTTCAACTCTCAGAGCTTCTCCTTCCAACCGTCTGAGAGGCCTCAGAAAAGGGGGCCACTAAAGAGGGCATAGGGAGTGCTCTTAGCACAGAAGGAAGCACCTCAACCCATCAGCTGTCCTTCTAAAACAGGATCAGCCTCAGATATACATGTGTTGGGGAGGGGGCTGTAGTCTCAGGTTCTTGGATCTAATCACAGACAAGCAAGTGCTCACAGGGAGCCAGCTCTGTCCTGGGCTCTGAAATGCGGTAGTGAATGCCACCCACACAATAACTGAGACACATCTCGGGAGCATAGGGCTTGGGAAAGGCACAAAGTTGGGGTGCTGGAGGAGGAACCACCTAGAGATGTCTTTGATCTGAGTTGTGAAAGCTTGGAACTTCGGTCTGGGCTATGGCACAGTGTTTCTGGCAGCTGTGCCTGGGCCCTGGAGGGACTAAGGGTAGTTGGTGTGGCCAGTACACAGGTGGAAGACACATGTGCTGACAGGAGTTCAGTGCCAGACCGCCATCACTGGGCAGGTCTGGCCTCACCCTGAGTCACAGTACACCCCAGAGCATATCAGCTGCCTGCAGGACGAGTGCTGTTGATAGTACTCCTGTCTTGCCAGAAGCCTTGCTTCTGGAGTCTCAGGCAGCATGAAGGGGACACACAAGCTAAAAAGGACATGAGGAGGCCCCCAGCGCTCTCACCAGCATTTCCCCGGAGGAAGTGAGGTGAGCTCCAAGCAGCCTGGCCAGGGTCACCCACAGGAGCAAGTGTCCCCAACATGCTCTCTTTGCCAAACTGTTCTCTTCCCCGCTGAGTGGGGGTGTGGGGAATGAGGGGCCCCTCTGGTACAACACATACCAGTTCCCATAATCTCTTGTGTGATGTCATCATTGGCTCAGTGCTGGCCTAGTTTGTCCCTATTGTCACACTGTAATTATTAATAGTGCCTATTTATTTATTTAAGATTTTATTTATTTATTCATGAGAGACACAGAGAGAGAGGCAGAGACACAGGCAGAGGGAGAAGCAGGCTCCATGCAGGGAGCCCAATGTGGGATTCGATCCCAGGTCTCCAGGATCACACCCCGGGCCGAAGGCGGCACTAAACCACTGAGACACCAGGGCTGCCCAATAGTGCCCTTTTAATGTGAGTCCAACAATTCTTTTTTTTTTTTTAAGATTTTATTTATTTATTCATGAGAGACACAGAGAGAGAGGAAGAGACGTAAGCAGGGAGAAGCAGGCTCCCCACAGGAAGCCCAATGCAGGACTCAATCCCAGGACCCCAGGATCATGACCTGAGCCAAAGGCAGACACTCAACCACTGAGCCACCCAGGTGCCCCTGAGTCTAACAATTCTTAATGTCTCAAAAGTCTGAATCTGTGAAGATGGATTCTGATTGCTTTTAAGAGTCTAAATGACTCACTAGCTTGGGAGATGCTGTGTTCTCTTAGTTGAGGAGGTGTACACTCTCTGTGAGGTTGCCAAGATGGGATTGCTCACATTCCACTGCTTTAATCATTTGTGAAGAGCTCCTTGACACAGCCAAGTTTTCTGGAGGGGGGTTCGGGGGGAGGGAAGAGCACACTGAAGCCACATGGTCCCGGCCATTAGCACCCTCTGTAACAGGTCCCAGCAGGAAGGGGGGGGGAGCCAGATGTTCTTAAAGAACATCCTTTTGTGTTAGAGGACACAGAGATTAAGGCCAGTGGTGCTAGAAACTAAGGATTAGAAGAATTCAGGATGGAGACTGCAAACTCCTAAGGCCTCATGACACCAAGGACACAGGGCTCTTGGGTAAAGTCTATTTGTTCTCATGGGCAACATTTCCCAGAATCTATATTCCTAGTGGTAATCCTCCCTAAACCCGAAAAGTCCAATTTGTGGCCCAGTTTGGGACAGACACATACCAACATACAGGTACATACAGACACATCCAGGACTAAACAGGCCTCCTCAAAACAGAGGACTCTGCCTGAGGCGGGCAGACCCCTCTAAGGAGGACCTAAAGGACAATCTGGAATGGAAGGGCAGAAAATCATGGTGAAGCAAGAGAAACCCTGTCACTGGGATTGGGAGCCAGGTGGGGTTTGCGCCAGCATGGCATCCCCCAGGTTCTACTGAATGGCTAGTGTTGCGTCCTTCCTTTCCAGAGGCAAGGGCGCTTCTGGGGCCTTGGAACCTCCCCTGTGAGTAGGTGAGGCTGGGAGAGCCCACCCCAGCCCTCCTGCGGGGAAGTCCTGCCCAACTGGCCCTGACACTACAGCCTGCTCCCCTCCCAGCTCCCCATGCCAAGAAGAATGATAGGGCCAAGGGGGAGAACAAGATCTTGTAAGATCGCGGAGGTCCGAGACTTCTAAGCCAGCCATCAGTGAGCTGGACGCTGGGTGCTGCAGGCTCCCCATCAGCCTGGGTCCCAGAGCCTCCCTGGCTGGCGTTTCACGTCTCTGTGCTCTAAAGGGAACTGCTAACGTTTGTGTCCTGGTAGGAGACTCTTTGTGTTGGGTTTTCAGGTTTGGACATTTGAGAATGTCGCTGAAAACCTATCCGCCCCCTGCAGTAGCGGACTCCGGAGTCCCGGCCTGGGATGCCCTGGGATGCTGCGGCGGCACCAAGTGCGAGGGCTGGGCGGCGCCTGGCTTCCCCACAGCGCAGCAGCGCCCCCTGGCGTTCCAGGGCCAAAATGGTGAATTCTGGGTTCTGAGTAAAATAAAAGAAAGCTTGAGAGATGCGCCTTCAGTTTTATGCCCTCTGGCTCTGGGGAAGGGTTGGCGAGAATCTGTGATAATAATCCCATTTTAAGAGGCTTCACGTTAATTCAGGAAGCTGAATTGCTGCCATTCTCAAAACGACGCAGAAATGGACCTTCCTGGCTCTACTTTTTAAAAATTGTAAAGCCTGCCAGAGTCCTAGGGGACAAGGGAGGGAAAGAACAGTGCTAGCCAAAGGAACATAAAGTGGATTCACCTGATAGTGAGGGCCTTGCCGAAAAAAATGCTAGTTTAGGAGGAAATGACCACTCAGGATGGATGACCCCGACTCTGCCCACACTCCAGCTCTCTCTCACCATCTCCTACTGTTTCCCAGAAATAGTGCCTCACAGCTGTCCACAGTCTTCTGGGTAAAAAGCCAGAGGCTCCTCTGTTATCCCTCATAACTACCTGTTCAAATTTATATTTCACAGTTAACTGCTTTCCTGTCTCGACCGATCCACTAATTCAGTATTTTCCTAGTGTTTCTAACATCAACCTCCTGTGCAATATTTGTGCTACTATGCTGACTTATTTAAAACTCTGCTTCCTCTGGTGTCTATATATGTTCTTCCTTTTTTCAAAAGTATGTGATTAATGGCATCCTCCTCTATAACTCTGGCTACCAGAAAATTCAGGCAAAATTGAAACTATCAACCATGCAGTCTTTATCAGTCACACATTTTTTTTATAAATTAATTTTTATTGGTGTTCAATTTACCAACATACAGAATAACACCCAGTGCTCATCCCGTCAAGTGTACCCCTCAGTGCCCGTCACCCATTCACCCCCACCCCCCACCCTCCTCCCCCTCCACCACCCCTAGTTCATTTCCCAGAGTTAGAAGTCTTTATGTTCTGTCTCCCTTTCTGATATTTCTCACACATTTCTTCTCCCTTCCCTTATATTCCCTTTCGCTATTATTCATATTCCCCAAATGAATGAGAACATACACTGTTTGTCCTTCTCCGGTTACTGTGGCCAAGTTCAAAAAGGGTGTTGCCTGAATTCTTCTCTGGGATTTTGATGGAATCTTGTCTCACATTTAGATCTTTCATCCATTTTGAGTTTATCTTTGTGTATGGTGCATGAGAGTGGTCCAGTTTCATTCTTCTGCATGTGGATGTCCAATTTTCCCAGCACCATTTATTGAAGAGACTGTCTTTCTTCTAGTGGATCGTCTTTCCTCCTTTATTGTATATTAGTTGAGCATAAAGTTCAGGGTCCACTTCTGGGTTCTCTGTTCTGTTCCATTGATCTATATGTCTGTTTTTGTGCCAGTACCACACTGTCTTGATGAACACAGCTTTGTAGTACAACCTGAAATCTGGCATTGTGATGCCCCCAGATATGGTTTTCTTTTTTTAAAATTCCCCTGGCTGTTTGGGGTCTTTTCTGATTCCACACAAATCTTAAAATAATTTGTTCTAAGTCTCTGAAGAAAGTCCATGGTATTTTGATAGGGATTGCATTATACGTGTAAATTGCCCTGGGTAACATTGACATTTTCACAATATTAATTCTGCCAATCCATGAGCATGGAATATTTTTCCATCTCTTTGTGTCTTCCTCAATTTCTTTCAGAAGTGTTCTGTAGTTTTTAGGGTATATTTTGAGAACCATTTGAATGGTAAATGGTTCTCCAACCTTTTATTTTCAGGTTGTAGGTGTCCTTCTGTCTAAAATGAGTCTCTTGTAGACAGCAAATAGATGGGTCCTGTTTTTTTATCCAGTCTGAAACTCTGCGCCTTTTGATGGGGTCATTAAGCCCATTCACGTTCAGAGTTACTAGAACTTCTTCTTAAAGGGGAGTTTTAAGAGTCCCCCTTAAAATTTCTTGCAGAGCTGGTTTGGAGGTCACATATTCTTTCAGTTCCTGCCTGTCTTGGAAGCTCTTTATCTCTCCTTCCATTTTGAATGAGAGCCTTGCTGGATAAAGTATTCTTGGTTGCATGTTCTTCTCATTTAGGACCCTGAATATATCCTGCCAGCCCTTTCTGGCCTGCCAGGTCTCTGTGGAGAGGTCTGCTGTTACCCTAATATTCCTCCCCATGAAAGTCAGGGACTTCTTGTCTCTTGCTGCTTTAAGGATCTTCTCTTTATCTTTGGAATTTGCAAGCTTCACTATTAGATGTCGAGGTGTTGAACGGTTTTTATTGATTTTAGGGGGGATCTCTCTATTTCCTGGATCTGAATGCCTGTTTCCCTTCCCAGATTGGGAAAGTTTTCAGCTAGGATTTGTTCAAA